TGGCTCCTGCCTTTGGATCAGCGTGATGCGCCGGCCGCGGCGGCCATTGGAGGGTGAACCAACAGCAAAGGAAGACCTTTCTCTCTGTCTCTCTCTCTCTCACTGTCCACTCTGTCTGTCAAAAAAATAAAAAGAAAAAAAGAAAAAAGAAAAATGAAAAAAACATCACATTTCATAGTTTGGTTTCACCATGTTAGCTAAACAAGAAAGTCCTGATTAGAGAGAAAAATCATTTTATTAAAAGTTTGCTACTTTGCAGCATTCATCCTGTCAGAAAAAGATTATTTCTGTCTAACTTAATCAGCAAGAGGTCTTTATTGCCCTAAGTATTAATTGATTAGGTTCTCAGAGGTGGCCAATTAGCAAATTGTCAGCCCTGCTTATTTACATTGACTGAACATAATGGTAGTTATTTGACTGCTGAGTCATAAGGTCACCGAATCTTTTGTGCACTTTGCCCTCCAAAAGGGCAACAGTCATTCAGACACCAGAATGCATTCATAACAAAGATTTAGCTTATTACCTATTGACTTAAATCACTGTTAAAAACAGGTGTTTCATTCTCTTTGGACAAATAATACATCTTTTCTTCATGAAATACTTGAGATTTAGTTGAAATCCTCTAGTTGATTGTGTCTGAGAAATTTTGTTCAGCAAGCAGTTTGCACTTGAAACTCTAAATAGGTTTTTAAAGAGCAGACCGATCCAATGGCTGCACCCCTTTGCAATATAGACTTCTCCTGCTACGTGACTTTGTTGTAATTTTAGCAATTTGAGCACACAGGTGCTGAAATGGCTCTGAGACACCAGTTTCAAAGTTGAGGGTTAGAATCATATTCGAGTTTTATCTTAATGAGGACATTGCTATGCCTTCTGAGTACTGACATGAAAGACTGGATATTTGCTATGGAACAAAAGGAAAATGAAAATTCAAAATTATGCATAAATCAATAGCCTAAAATTTCTGCCTTCAGTCTCAGTGATTGTTACCATCATAAAGTATTACACCTAATTTATATTGTTGTGATGGTACTAGTTGTATTTTTACCATTTATATTTTTTTGTTTACTCTCTTTAATTTTAGCATCATTGTCCTGTACATTTTCTATTATTGATTTAAACACCTTCAGTGATTCCATGAGTTAGATTTTAAGAAGAAAATACTTGGTTGAGTGCATCACCTTTACAAGTTTTGCCACTAGGTAGAACTAGACATCTGTTAGTCATTCTAGATTCTTCCCTATTTATCCTGCCTTCCCCAAATGTGGATCCTGTGAAAAATCACATTTCCTTAGTTGTACCCGCAGAATATTATCAACAGACATAAGTGCCCTCCTTCAGTTCAGTGCCTGGCATATGCAGACACTCAGTAAAAATTTACAGAATAAATAAGTGAATGATCATAATTAGCTTTATGCTACATATGAATATACATTTGAAAGAACAGAATCTGTAATGATTTAAGAACTCACTAAATTAACCTTTTACTATTAAATTATTAATTAGTACTTTCTCAGACTGTCACAAGCAATAAATGTTAATTAGTCATGTAACTAAACCAACAGCAATAAATAGGAAAAGAAAATGAGTGAAAATTGAAGGAAAAAAAGCTATGACCACAATGCTTAAGTAATAAACTACCAAGTATAAAAATAAAACAAATCCATATACTATGAATATATTTTCTTTGTTTATGGGACATACAATTTTCAGATGATTCAACATTACTACTTATATATTATCCACAAAGTACTGAGCACTCTATGTAAGTTACCTATACTCCTCTTCAGGACTATATAAAGGGGGCTGGTGTTTGGCACCGTGATTAAAACATTGCTTAGGACACACATATCAGAATGCATAGGTTTCAATGTTGGCTCTGTTCCTGATTCCAGCACCCTACTAATGGACACCCTGAAAAGCAACACATAAAAGCTTGAGTAATTGGGTCCCTGGCACCCACAGGGGAAACTCAACTTGAGTTCCCCAGCTCCTGGTCTTGGTCTGGCCCAGCCCCAGCTGCTGTGGGTATTTAAGACATAAACCACCACACACAAATTCTGTTTGTCTGTCTCCCCCTCTCCATCTCTGTTTTTCTCCCTTGCAAATATATATATACATATATATAAATACATATATAAATATATATGTATATAATATATATAAATATATATGTATATAAATATATATATACACACAAAAGAGTACTTCACAGGTATCTGGAAAATTGTAATTAAAACTAAGTTTCTTTTGGGTGAATTTTTAAAAATCCATGCATAATTTTTTCTTAGCATACATTTTCATAATGTGAAGACTCCTTGTATGCATGGATTTAAAATTATTTTTGCACCAAAATAAACTCATCTTTTAATTCTGATGTCCACACTTTTTGAAGTATTACTCATATAATGCAGATATCACAATCATCATTTTACAGATTAGAAAACTGGTTTCACAAGATAGCTTGTCCAAAGGCACACAATGCAGGTCTTGCTGGCTCCTAAACTCAAGCTCTATTGACCACACTAATCTGACACTAAATTTGCACTATTCATTGGAATTTTGGAAAAGGTAATGAGCATTATTCTGAAGCTTCACTAGACATATAGAAATATTTCATATCAAATATTGAAATAGGATGGAGATAAGCCGCACAGCCAAGATGAGAAAAATGACAGTGGAAGTTAAAGATAATGTGATTTAGCAGTTAAGATCGCATGAGTTTTGACATCAAAAAGCCCTATACTCATGCCCCAGCCTGTCCTGTACTACCTGGGTAACCTTAAGTGGTGACTTGACTCCTTCAAGTTACATCATAAGGGTTCAGTACTGTTCACTATTGTTTTTAGTAAAGGTCGACCAGGTACCAGCACTGTGGCACAGTGGGTAAAGCTGCCACCTGCAGTGCTAGCATCCCATCTGGGAGCTGGTTCAAGTCCTGGCTGCTCCACCTCCGATCCAGCTCCCTGCTAATGCACCTGGGTAAGCAGCAGAAGACGGTCGAAGTTCCTGGGCCCCTGCACCCACATGGGAAACCTGAAAGAAGCTGCTGGCTTCTTGGTTTTCGATAGGCTCATCTCCAGCTGTTGTAGCCATTTAGCAGATGGAAGATCTCTCTCTCTCTCTCTCTCTCTCTCTCTGTAACTCTGCCTTTCAAATAAAGAAATAAATTTTTAAAAATAAGTAAATAAATAAATGTTCTACCAAAATGCATGCTTTGATGTATATGTCCTTCCTTATTCTCTGTTGAGCTATTTGTGCTCTTGTATTGTAGGACACGCTGAAACTCAAAGATTACGACATAGGAGGGTAGGGTGGGAAGAATCGTTATGTTCCTAAATTTGTATTATGAAATTAATGAGTTTGTGTACCTTAAATAAAACATTTCTAGATAAAAACATAAAATATTCATAATGTAAAAAAATTATGACAGCACCTAGACAATCATCCAGTTGTAAAGTTGTGTTCAAGATACATAAATACTCAAGTTTGTTAGGGACCCTATTAGATGATTTCTTCGAAGTGCGCAAGCAGCATGGAGAGTATCCTGTGAGAAATAAGTTATTCCTGAGTCCTCATGATGCTTCTCCGACATTGCATAAAGACCCTAACCTCTCTTGTGCATGGCCACATAAGCTGGTGTCAGGATAATCCACTAACTAAAGTCATAGGGCTTGCCTATTGAATCCTATGTTCCATGGAGATTTCTTACTTTCATTGTGTCAGAATTATGAGGAGTTTAATTTAGAGCTAAAGAGATCCCTTGAAAGAAAATTCTCTGTGCATCAACACTTTGTTTCTTCATTTCATTAGCACCTTGTGGAAGAGAAGTTCTGATGTTAAAGGAGAGGGGAGCTCCTCATCTTCTGCCTGATGTTGGGCCTTGTCCTCTACTGATTGGAAGAAAATATAATTATGTGATTGATAACAATTTAAAAAAAATAGTTAATCAACTCATACTGTTTGACTTCTTTTACTTATATACATGATAAGCAGATAAAGAAATATTGTTTTTTCCCTATGAAATCTCCATAGTTAAGCAGAGAAAGAAGAAAGGAACAAGGTGAATTGGCCACCCTGAAAGTATGTGGGCTTATGCATTATTTACTAAGTAGTAAGTATTTATTGGACACCTACTTTGTGCTCATAGCTCAAACCCTATGCTAGGTGCTGGGGATAGTATCTTTGATTTTCCATAGTTCATTTTCACTCAAACTTAATTAAAATGCAATGCTTATTTATAATCTTACCTAGTATACAAGTTTAAATTTTAAAGAAAAGTTAGCCATTAATGCTAGGTTAAACTACTGTTCACATATCCTTAGGAAATCAGTTTGTACTTAATAGATAGGAGATTCATTCTCTCTCTCTCTCTCTCCCTGCCTCCCTCCCTTTTTTCTTCTCTCCCTCCCTTCTCTCCCTCTCCATCCCTCTGCCTCTCTGCCTTTCAAAATAAGTAGTCATAGAAGGGCTTACTGGAAGATATTGGAACTACAGTTTGAAGGACTAGAAGAATTAAGCCAAGAAGATTACTGGGGTAAGGCAACCCAGGTAGAATAAAGAAGTAGGGGAATTTGCTAAAGTGGAAATATTTCAAGTTTGAGGTTTGTTGCAAGGAAATTAATGTGGAAAGAGCAAAATGAACCTAAAGGAGAATGACAGAAGTAAAAGGAGAGTACTAGGAATTGGGGATTGTGCCCAGCTTAGAGGAGGGAGTTTGGCTTGTTCATTGAGGACGATGTGGAGCCAGGAGGTTGAGCAGAAAGCTGAACTGATCTGACTTTTCATACTACAACGGTCATTCATCCAGTGGCTTGAACATGGACAGGGTAGAAACAGGTGGACCAATTAGCAGTAATCCAGATGAAAAATGAATTGTCATAACTGTTTCCTCCTTCTTCCTTCTTTATGTATGGAGTTACTTCGCTATTATTTTACGCAACTATTGTTAACAGTGTCTCATTCAATAATTTGATTTTGATGTCTCTCTTTTGTTCTAGATTTAGTTGAATGCAAAGAAAAGCTTAGAAATGCAGGTAATTTATCATTTCTCCCTCATTCAAAAAAGACTAGAACATAGCAAAACTTGAAACGGTCTTATAAAGAACCATCTAGTTATAGCAAAATATTGGAAACCTCTGTCTAATCTTCACACAGATAAGGACTAACTGGACATAAAATAAAGATGGAGGCCAACTTCAGTTCTTTACCAAATAAGATTTTTGTGAAATACTTTCATTTCTTGGAGTGAGGCAAAATAGTTTCTCTAATGCCATTGATAAAATTCAATGCAAAAAACAACGTTAAAGTTAACATAACTTATATTGTTGTTTTGTTTAATTCTGGATACTTCTCTTTTCTTTGGTATTGGGACAAAATTACAATTACTGAAGTCCAAAGAATTACAAAGCATTATTTAAGCATTCATATTAGATTTCAAATTAAGAGGAGAATGCAAAAACTGGTATATCAAAGGAGAAAAGTTTCTGAGAGAGTACAGCAAAGGGAGGAAAGGGGAGGTAACAACATGATTTGACAGTGTTTTAAGCTCTTACTACAGAGAATATTATTCAGTTGTCTTCCTAATTGAACCTAATAATATTCTTTGTCCTTTACCAGAAAATTATAATTCTTAAATCTCTATAGGTGCACTCTCTGAGACTAAGCAAACTTTTTGTATAGGGGAAATTGTATTGAAGAGGTTCACTTTTTTTTTTTTAAAGATTTATGTTTTTATTTGAAACACAGAGAGAGAAGGAAAGGCAGAGAAGAGAGAGGCCTTCCATCCGCTTACTCACTCCCTAGATGGCCGCAACTGCCGAAGCTGCACCGATCCGAAGCCAGGAGCCAGGAGCTTCTTCCAGGTCTACCACAAGGGTGCAGGGGCTCAAGGACTTGGGCCATCTTCTACTGCTTTCCCAGGTCATAGCAGAGAGCTGGATAGGAAGTGGAGCAGCCAGGACTTGAACCAGTGACCATATGGGATGCCAGCACTGCAGGCCGTGGCTTTACCCATTAGGCCACAGTGCTGGCCCCAGGGTTCACATTTTTTGAAATGACCTTTCCCCTGCTCCTGTGTCAGATAATCTGAATCAGCCTTGGGCACTCAGCATTGGCTCAAACCCAACTTGCTTATATTTCTCTTATTAGAGAACTTAGACCCATAATCCTGGATCAACCATGATGGAGTTTCATTCTTCCATCTACTCTAGCTGACCTCAAGCAAAATTCTACTTTTCACTCTGTGAAGATTTTTTTATTTTAATCTCTTCCAATTTAACAGGAAGAAAAAGTTCAAAAGAAAGTCAATTTCCCCTGAAAAAAAAAAAAAAAAGTGATCCACAGTTTCCCACTGAACTAGAGCCAAGAACTCTGCCAGTTTTGCTCTCATATCACTGAGCTGTAGCCTGACCTTTCATGTGCCCAGTGAGGGCTTGTTGCATAAGATCTATCCGGGCGCCTTTCTAAAAGTGCTATCTTTGTCCATATTTCAAAACACTCACAGATATTTTATCATTAATTAGTATTCATATTATGTCTCAAACAATCTGTTCAAGGAAAAGGGAAGTGAACTAGTTGAACAGCTTTTCTGTTTGTCTAGTAATTAACATGGATGATGTGTACAGAGATTAAGGTTTTGTAAGGGGAAGAGGTGGCCAAGTGTTGAGTAGGTAACTACTGGAACATTTAGATGCTTACCTATTTTGGAGGCTGGGCTTTTCCAAAAAAAATTGTACTTGGCAAACAGGATGGGGAGACACAGGCCTCTTTAAAAATAGACCCGTGCCTCTTTGATTCGCAGCATCCTGGATTTGCTTTTCATCATGTTAACATGCCACTTGGAAGCTGGCTGGACTCCCTTGTTCAGTGACATATATTTCATAGTGTGTGTGTGTTTTTTCTTTTTAAAAAACCATTTGTTCTTTCAACCACAACATGCTTTGAATTTCTCTTTCAAATTTGAGGGTGTATATATAGATTGATCAAAACAATATTTTTAACATTCCAAACTATTTAGAAAGATAGTGGATGGGTGTCAGTTAATCTATTATGTTCCTCTCTTCCTCCTCCCCCTCTTCAGCTGCTAATCTTAGAACTTGTGTGCCAAATTGTGTAAGATATTCTTCCAATAGCTACATGTGTGACTCTTTTGTGAGCTCTACAGACAGTTATGAGGACAGATTTGGAGTTGCATATGGGACTGTCACATGGTTTGATTGCCTTGTCTTCCAGGCACTGAGATTTCTTTTCACTGAGCTTTAATACTGAGGAATTTTTAGTTGTGAAAAAAGTTTGCAAAGTCTCTATTAAAGAATTTACACATCCCAAGAATGGAGAAGGAGAAAAAAGTTTTGCTCATCACCGCTTTCTACTTGGCGTCTGTGTCTAGTGAATAGCTCATATGTTTACTCTTTCCAATAGTAAAAAAAATTCAGAGATTTATCACAGAATTTTTGTGAAAAGCCAAAGAGAAGCGCCTTTATTACCCTCCTTGCTCTTTTGGAGCAAGATCTAGTAAATGTCTCAGCTGAAAAAATAAGCAGATGCTTTGTAAAAAGGTCCCACATAATTTATGTTCAATGGCAAAAGCTGATTTGCAGGAAAATATAACCTATCTATGGCCTTAGGAGCCAAAATTCTATGCCTTTAAGTTTATGAAATGGATCAAGTGCAAATCCACTTTCAAATATACATGTTTGAAATTATTTTCATCATTTAAACTCTGTAGCATCTCATCCTATTGAACCCCAGTTACCTTTCAGAAAAACACAGCCTTGAAGCAAGGTCTTCTAATTCTATTTTAACTGTTCCTAAAGGATAAATAATGCCCAAGTTAATCTGTGTCCAGCGAATTATGAATACTTTATGATTTTATGAAAGTGTCAATCCCATATATTAAGAGCTAATTTAATTAAAGCACAGTCTGTATGACTATGATTCATCCTGTTACAAATTTCCATGTAAAACAAATCCAGTGGTTAATTATTCAGAGCTGCACCTTCCTTTGGTCCATGAGTAAACTCACTCAATTTTGTTGACTGGGGACAAAGTCATAATTCGGAAATAAAAATTATGGGTATCATTTATTGATTCTCTGCTCCATAAACTCTATAGAAGAGTTTACGTAAAAATATATAGAGTTTTATTGAACTAAAATATATAAATATTTTATATATATAAAATATATAAAAGTATACTGAACCCCAGAGCAGCCCATCAAGATAGATATTATCATGTCCATTTTTTCCACTGGAGTAAGAACCAAGAAATAGCTCAAATGAAGAGAAGTGCTTTCTTATTTCAGAATTTAATTTGCTTTTCCTGTTTTAGATTGCAGAAGTCTTGCTGAGAAAATTGCCCTAGAACTTTGCACAATGAAGCTTATGCATGGTGGAATACAAACAGAAGTGAGTCTCCTTAACCGTACCCTGAGCATCCTGGATTCTACACAGAGGCAGACTCCACCCACTCTCATGACTCACTGTTACCAAATCTACAGCAAGTTTGTTGCCACTGCTCTGGATAGTTGGCAGAAGAACTTACTGATATTCAAAAAAGGTACCCACTATATAGTTTTTCTAACCTACAAAATAACAATTTATGAAAAAGTTTAATTCAGGCAATATCAAGTCTCTCTTAGCACATTTCATAAGAGTTTGAACTAAATCTTACATAATAAGGTTTGATTGAGCTGTTAGGTTTTGTCTGGTGTCTGCGCACAATTGAGAATGAAGAACACTAAATAGAAAGTTACAGCCATCACAAACTTTGCCTTAATTCTCCAAAGCAATAAGTAAGGGGTTCCTGAAGAGCATCTTAGGGGCCAGCATTGTGGCATAGCAGGTGAAGCCTCCACCTGCGTTGGCAGCATCCCATATGGGTACCAGTTCATGTCTCGGCTTCTCCACTTCCCACCCAGCTCCCAGCGAATGAGTCTAGGAAAGCAGCAGAGGATGGCCCAAGAGCTTGGGCCCCTGCACCCATATGAGAGAGCTGAAGAAGAACCTGGCTCCTGTCTTTGGTCTGGCCTAGCTCCAGCCATTGTGGCCATTTGAGGAGTGAACCAGCAGATGGAAGATTCATTCTCTCATTTCTCTCTCTCTCTCTCTTTCTCTGTCTCTTAGCTCCCCCTCCCCCGTAACTCTTTCAAATAAATAAAATAAATCTTTTTTTTTTTTAAGAGCAGCTTGAAGTTCTTAGCAAATGCTGAAAAATACTCTTTTTAGAAATATTTCTGCCAGGGCCGGCACTGTGACACAGTGGGTTAAAGCCCCAGCCTACATCACTGGCATCCCATGTAGGTGCCAGTTCAAGTCCCAGCTGCTCCACTTCCTATCCAGCTGTCTGCTGTGGCCTAGGAGAGCAGTGGAGGATGGCCCAAGCCCTTGGGCCCCTGCACTGGCATGGGAGACTAGAGGAGGCTGCTCGCTCCTGGCTTCGGATCAGCTCAGCTCTGGCCATTGTGATCATTTGGGGAGTGAAGTGGCAGAATGGAAGACCTCTGTCTCTCTGGCTCTACCTCTCTCTGTAATTCTGTCTTTCAAATGAATAAAATAAAACAATTCTTTAAAAAAATAAATATTTCTGCCAATATGTCATACTATACGTTCTGGGAATGTGGGGCAGAGGTATTGATGTTCCTGATATTTGTTCATTAGGAGTATTATCTTCCCTAAGAACATTTACAAAGGGTCATATCTTTCCATTTTTCTAAAATATTTGATAGAGAATCTGTTTGTTTCCCCTTTAGATCTGGCTTGGTGTTAGAACTTTCAGTTATCCCACAAACATCAAGAGTAGTTTCTGGGGCCAGCACCATGGCTCATTTGGTCAATCCTCCGCCTGCGGTACTGGCATCCCATATGGGCGCTGGGTTCTAGACCCAGTTGGAGCGTCGGATTCTGTCCTGGTTGCCCCTCTTCGAGTCCAGCTCTCTGCTGTGGCTCAGGAGTGCAGTGGAGGATGGCCCAGGAGGAAGCACCTGGCTCTTGGCTTCGGATCAGTGCGGCACTGGCCGTAGCGGCCATTTTGGGGGTGAACCAACAGAAGGAAGACCTTTCTCTCTCTCTCACTGTCTGTAACTCTACCTGTCAAATAAAAAAATAGTAGTTTCTGAAATATATCAAATTTAGGTCTAACTGTTAGGTATATTGTGTCATCAGAAAGTAAAAATTACTAAAATGAAATAACCAAGTCAGCTGATGATGGGAATATATTTTAGAAAAAATAAGAGTCTGTTTCTTGTTATTAAAAGCCGGCCGGCGCCGCGGCTCACTAGGCTAATCCTCCGCCTAGCGGCGCCGGCACACCCGGTTCTAGTCCCGGTCGGGGCGCCGGATTCTGTCCCGGTTGCCCCCCTTCCAGGCCAGCCCTCTGCTGTGGCCAGGGAGTGCAGTGGAGGATGGCCCAGGTGCTTGGGCCCTGCACCCCATGGGAGGCCAGAAAAAGCACCTGGCTCCTGGCTCCTGCCATCGGATCAGCACGGTGCGCCGGCCGCAGTGCGCCGGCCGCGGCGGCCATTGGAGGGTGAACCAACGGCAAAGGAAGACCTTTCTCTCTGTCTCTCTCTCTCACTGTCCACTCTGCCTGTCAAAAAAAAAAAAAAGCCATATTGGCAATGAAATCATTGACTGCAGATAATAATTTTATCTACCTATTAACCCATGATGTGTAAACAGTATATAAAACTAAAATTTCAAAAGATAACAAGCCAAGGGGCCAGCCCTGTGGCATAGCGGGTTAAGCCGCCGCCTTCAGTGTCAGCATCCCATATGGGTGCAGCTCTGGCCCTTGTAGTCATTTGGGGAGGGAGCCAACAGAGGGAAGACCTCTCTCCCTCTCTGTCTCTCCTTCTCTCTGTAACTCTGCCTGTCAAATAAATAAATAAATCTTAAAAAAAAAATAAGATAACAAGCCAAAAGACCCCACTGACAGTAGCATTAAAACTGTAAGGAATTTGGGGCCGGCGCTGTGGTGCAGTGGGTTGAAGCCCTGGCCTGAGGCGCTGGCATCACATATGGGTGCTGGTTCCAGTCCCAGCTGTTCCTCTTTTGATGCAGCTCTCTGCTATGGCCTAGGAAGGCAGTAGAGGATGGCCCAAGTCCTTGGGCTCCTGTACCCACCTGAGAGACCCGGAAGAGGCTCCTGGCTCCTGGCTTCAGATCAGCGCAGCTCCGGCCGTTGCAACCATCTGGGGAGTGAATCAGCGGATGGAAGACCTCTCTCTCTCTCTCTCTACCTTTCTCTGTAACTCTGTCTTTCAAATAAATAAATAAATCTTAAAAAAAACTGTAAGGAATTTAAAGAAAACCATTCATCTTTACTGCACGATGATGCATTTTAAAAACTGGAAAGGTATATGAAGTTTCTGATCAGCAATTATTTAAAGATATATATTCTGAAGTAGGCAAAGAAGGAATAAAGCAGGAAAAAAAAAAGAAAAGCTTAAAACTTTCTGCCAAAAAACAATAAGAGTAAAGGAGTACAGGGAAGAGAGAAAGAAGAAGAAAGTCTTAAATGATCATATTTTTTTAAAAAAAAAGTTTTGTTTATTTGAAAGTCAGAGTTACACAGAGAAAGGAGGGGCAGAGAGAGAGAGAGAGGTCTTCCATCTGCTGGTTCACTCCCTAATTGGCCACAATGGCCAGAGCTGCACAAATCTTTAGCCAGAAGCCAGAAGCTTCCTCTGTGTCTCCCACGTGGGTGCATAGGCCCAAGGACTTGGGCCATCTTCTACTGCTTTCCCAGGCCATAGCAGAGAGCTAGATTGGAAGTGGAGCAGCCAAGACACGAACTGGTGCCCAAATGGGATGCCAGCAGGTGGCGGCCTTACTGGCTACACCACAGCGCCTGCTCCTAAACTATCATATTTTAAAGTATGAAGATACAGCTAAAGTCATGTGTCATTGCCATGGTTACAGATAAGAATCAGTGGCTCAGACTTGAAACCTCTCTAAATATTATATGCCTTCATTTTGTAGAGTTGTCAGTCATTTTGTTTGCTTGCTTTCTTGTTTTGATCAAACCAGAACACAAAGTCATGCTGCCTGTTACTGATTTGGCAAACAGTACTTGAGATGCTTGCTTTGCTTGAATGAGCTTTCTCTGTGCTGCACCTGGTGACTAGGTGGAGTTTGCAAACAGTCGGCATTAACTGTCTCTGCCTCTCACCTTTGATGATAATAAACTTAAGACTCTTCTGAATCTCTTTGGGTCTAAGGCTTGCATACCTGAGAGCCTTTTCTCCTCCTGTGACTCATGGAGTCCATAGAATTCAGTAGAAAATTACTGTTTTCTGTTGATAGGAAAATATTTCCTAGAGTTGCTCTTTATTTTAATTGATTTTGGCCATGGCTGACACATTTGAATTCAAGCTATTTCACAGTTCTCCCCTCCTGCCCCCTGCCTCAGTAGCTTCATTTGGTATTCAATGCAAGCTAAAAAACAACATGATATAAAGTTTTAAATCATTTAAAATAAACTTGAGTTTGAATTGAGGGTAAACACAATTCTTCAAAATGTATCTGTTCTCACTTATGCACAGATGTGGGTCCTGATTTAGAATGAGTTTCACCAAGGAAATAGTTTGTAGAATAGTTCTGTGAAGTTAGCAGGTGAAATAAATGCTAGTCATCTTAACAGAGCTTGAAGTAATTTCTAGGCAGGCCACCCATATTCACCTTATAACTACATATATTATAAATTACCATTTTGCTTTAAAAGCAACTTTCTATCGGAAGTTAAATGATCATTTTATAATTTCCAATAAAGGGAAATAAAAACTATTTTAAATCTAATAACCATGCCTAAGAGAACACTTGAGCATAATCTTATTGGCATCATTAGTAATAAGAATATATCACAATAACCTTTTATAATCTTCACAGACATTTTTTGGTTCCTCAGTCATCTTTGAGGATTCTTGGGTTGCCTTTGAGAGTATAGGACTGACACAATATTATTCAACATGCTAATACATTTTAGGATCACAATTTTGGTTGTTACAACTTTACTAAATTGGCTTGATGGTTTCAAATTAAGTATCATCTTGTGTTTTTCCTTTCCTCATATCTTTTAAATGATAGTGTCATATAATATGACGGCTCTATGAGTCGTTTTGCTACCTCATTCATCAGAGTAATCAATGAGGAAAAAAGCCATATGGGTTGAGGTCCATTTGTATTGGGTAGGACAGATGGCATTATTGGTAAATGGAAATATTCCAAATATTTATTGTATAATGATATCTCTGGGATTCTGACTTAAGAATTTTAATAATTTAATTCCTGCAATAACTGGAAAATTGAGTAATTTATTCAGTCACCATGTATTCATTTAATGATATCAATGTGTGAATTGCTGCATTAATTACCTTTCAGTTAATAGTTTATTTTAAATGATAGGCATTTCTCTTTCAAAGGCATGCTTACTTATCTGATTTCTGACCAAGCTATCACTTTGGTCTTGAAGGTTTTAAAGCTAATATCAATGTTTGAGGCAGACAGTAAATTAAAGATAGGATCCCAGAAATGAAAGATGCAAAAATTACATAACAGTTTTCTGCTGGTACTACCTCAGTCCCATGGTCGGCAGAGGGGAAAGGTGGTGTTACAGACTCTCCTTTACATTTGTGGCTTGTGTTCCTTGCTGCTCTCAATAGATTTTCTTAAATTACATGCTAATATAACTGTAGACATAATGATGTAATTCTGGTCTTAATTGTATTTTATTTTCTCAATTTGGAATTGAGTCATTTGAGCAAGGGTTAGTTCACTTTTTAATTTAAATATTTTGTATTGTTTAAATGCTTACTGAAACATCTAGTTATGCCTTACTTTTGCAATTGCAGAGTTAAAAATAATAGTTTTAATTGAAAACGTCCATTGTTGTTTTATTTTGAAAAATACTACTAGGCCTGTTATTGAAGGCCTAGTATGTGTTTAGACAGTGCTAGGAGCTCTGGCAGTACCTTCAGGTTTGCTACTTTATTTAGAAAGCAATATAAATTCTTTAACAGCACTGAGCTGTTTTCCAATTAAAAATATATTTTCCAAATTAAAAATCAGAAATATTATCCAACAGTATTCTTTTAATTGTGATTTATTACTGTGAAAAAATTAGAAAGACATAAAATCTAAAGATTTTATACTTAGTTATAATTTTTAAATTGTTGAACCATTTGATTTTATTTATATCTTTAAATAATCTTTAGATATAAATTTGTCACTACCGTCATGAATTATGCTCACCACTGATTCCCAGTGTTTCGCACACTGCATTGTACAAAGCAAGAGCACATTTGTTGATTGTGGTGCTGATTAACAAGGTAGGTTGGTGCATATCCACAAAAATAATTGGGAATATAAGAATATAGTTATGTGCTTTCAAAATGGTAATGTGATCACTAATCAAATAAAAACTATACTAAAATTTCTCAAGATTAATCTTTTTAAAAGGTTGATATAAAAATAGAATATGATGGCATGGACAGTGTGGTACAGTGGGTTAGGTTACCACTACGGATACCCACATCCTATCTCAGAGTACCTTGAATGGAGTTCTGCCTCTGCTTCTGATCTAGCTTCCTACTAACACTCACTGTGGGAGGCAGCGGATGATGGCTCAAGTATTTGGGTTCCTGCCACGTACATGGGAAACGTAGATGGACTCCTGGCCCATTCCCAGCTTTTGAAAGCATTTGGGGAGTGAAACAGAGTAGAAAACATTCTCTCTCTCTCTCCCTCTCTCTCTCTCTGTTTCTCTCCTCTGTTTTTGTCACTCTGCCTGTCTTTCAAATAAATAAATAAAACTTAAAAATTAAGATATGTAATTATATTGATATAATATCTTGACTAAGCTTTGTTTTGTCAGAAATATAGTGTCCAGTGGTCAAGAGGACAACATAAGTTGGACCTTGCCAGAGATATCCCATTCCAAATAGACTCTCTTTTCTATGATTTAGAGCAAAATAAAAGGGGTTTCATTCCTACTGCCCCAGAAAATATGGACAGACTAAATATACCCTGATGATTCCAGATATCTTTAACACTCTAGAAAGATTTCAAAAGCATTGACTAAAATTGCATGAATAAAATTCTGTTAAAAATCTCTGTAACAACAATGAAACAAAGACTAACATCCATTGAAGTAGTATAAAATGTAAAATATTCTACATATGTTTACTGTTTCTTTTATAATATCAGTCTAAGTAATATAAAAAGCACATGTATTTGGTCACTAAAGCCTTTTACTTCCTCTATTTATGGAATCACATATGAGAATGCTATCCAATAAGATTTGTTTAAAAAAAAAAAAAAACTGGATCTACATTTCCAGCCCTTAACCTTCCCTGAATTTTTTTTTCAGTATTTCTCATTATCTGTGTTCCTCTCTCCTTCCTCAGTACTTAGTTGTACCGTGAGAGTTAACAAGACAAAGACAGACAGATATTAATAGCACTTTTAACTTTGCATCTCCAAAAGGAAACTGACCTCTCGGGCAACATTGCAGGATGCTTATATTGTTATTTTAGGAAGACTTTATTTCTCTTTTCTTATACTAAATTTTGTTTCTCTGCAGTAGTTTCATCACATCACTCCAATGATGCAAAGAAGAGAAGTCTCTGAAACTGAGCAGTCTGATTATGTTTACAATGAATGAATGACTCTTTTCACTGTATCATGCTACAGGTTTTTCTCATCAAAGTTATTTTCCAGAGTTTTGGGTATAACCCACCTCTTCACTACATGAAAGGATCACACATTCCTAAAAGAAAGACATGAAGACCAATTTTTAGCATTTAATTTGTGTCCTAAGAATTTTATATGGCCTAATTTTTAAAAAACAAACTCAGAGTATTAAAATATATTTTAGACAAGCAAGTCCTGTGTGGGAGCTAATTTTCTTTATAATATTTTAAAAACACCTCAATATTTATCCAACTAATATTCTTTAAAGATGTTGTGTTCTCTGAGGGGAAATAATTTAAGGATACTCAATAATAGATTTCTTAATTTTGTGCTGAGTTGTTTAGACTTTTGTTTATTCAAATTTATCCCCCAAAATTTCCAACCTTAATTTCTGAAGATGATAGTAATTGATCATGCCTGTGAATAAATAAATAAACTTGGCACACTAATGCAGTGTATAAGCTGAAGTTCTTTAACAAAAGCAGCCTGTCAACTATGATGCATTTAAGTACAGAGAAGACTGATGCTTGCCAAATGTAAAATCAGACAGAAGAAAAATATGTTTTCAACCTTAGGGGATTTCCAACAATGAAAGAGGAAATAAATAAAAATGTAGATACACAATATTGCTATACCTTGTCAAGGTAATGTTAATTGAAATCAGGCTTTAAAAAAATAATAATGTAAGATTTCCACCAAAAGACTACTCAAGAGTCTGACAATGTGTGAGTAGAATTTTAAAGGTACATTGACAAAAATTGTGCCGTTACATTTTCAAAAAGCTATGCCCCAGATTTCATTGTCAATGATCTCCTACTGGTTAATTAATATAATCAGTTATGTTACAAAGAGAAAGCTAAGAGTTTTGAAAAATATCCACATGAGCCATGTGGAACTCCATCATAAATTCAATGGTTAAAATATGCAGGTTTGTGTTTATTTCTTCTGTATTATCAGGTTTATGACATTTATTTGGTAGCTAGATATTGTTTTGAATGTGCAATGATTTGAGTTATTAAAATACAGTTCACTTATGATCCATGCTAAGATCATGCGGTGCATTCAAATGACTAGGTAGCATTGAGTCTTTCATCTCAGAGTGGTATGTTTCATTTCCCTAGGGTTGGGATTAAATTGAGATTTTGTATTCATTTGAAGTAATTGTACTGAGAATATTTAACATGGGTCAAATGGAGAATAGTGGCACCCTGGAAGTGCTTAGAAATAATTTGCTTTTTATACATTGTTCCACAGTGGGATTGAAAAAGATTACCACGCCTTGTTTAAAGACGTTATATTGTTCTATTTGTGAATCTAATGAAATCTTTTGCAGAAAAGAACACCAATTGCACAAATGAATTTGAGAAAATAAGAAGGCATCTGAATCAAATAATTGTACATTTGAAATACGTTAGCTACTTTAACAGCCTTTACCTAAATAAAATCAGAGATATGTATATATATATATATATTTTTTAATTTTTAACATTTTCTTTTTATTCCTATAATGTAAAGTAGGTGAAGTTGTATTTATTTTCCCATAGACATGGGAGAGAATTGCCCAGCAAAACTATGTACCCACAATACATTTTTCCAGACTCCTTTCTCCCCTGAAGCAGTCTTTTTATTTGAGCACTGTTAAGTGATTTTCCAACTTGCTCACTAAAAGTGCTTGGGTATATTAGTACCAGTCTCCCTCACAGGATGCTGACTTTGTTAAAGCCAAGAGGAAATAAATTATATCTTGTGCTGGTTGTTTGTATCTCCTCTCGTGTTTAAAAGAATAATAATAATTGCTAAACTGGATCAACCTTAGTATGAAAACTGATCTGTGACAGATGATCAGCCACTGAAAAACAATTTAATACTGTATTAGATTTAGTGGTATCACCTAATCTTAGAGAAAGAGTCTAAACAAAAGAATGCAAATAATGAAAAAATTGAGTTTTAATTTATATTCAGAAACTGTTTTAAAGCTAAAACATACCCAGTGATGGCTCAGGGCTGGATTACTCAGTTTCAGAAGAATATGATAAGTTGAGTCAATGGAAGAGGTAAAAAGAATATAACATTTTCTAATACATTGACAGGCTTCTTCTCCGCATGGCAATGTACTTATATTGAGCACATTCTAAAATGGAAGCTTGCTTCGAATGTGCCTGTAAGTCCGAGAATTACTTCAGGAAGAAAGAAGTGTTGCTTACACTCAGAATTAGTAAGGGGTTGGGGGTGGGAGAACATCTTCCATTTGATAAGCTCTCTGTGGTAACTTGGGAGTTCTGCTGTTATAACCACCCTCCTTGGTCTTCCCCCAAACATTATTGTATTAATACAGTTATTATTCATTGTTTATTATTGTTGAAGGTCTTTCAACTTTAACTAGAAAACAGCCACCATATTATAACTCTGAGAGGGTCCACATCACTATCTGGGTAGAGGCAATGGTGCCTAGCAATAACACTATAATTTAGGATTGCTTGGAAAATTCTAAATAATTAAATAAGATAATGACCTGCTAAAAATGTATTACCAAAAAGGAAAACAAATTCTCATTGTCATGAAATGTATAATTATTTACAATACAATTAGATCAAGTGTACTTAAAATTACCTGGGACTTACCCTATTTGAAAAAATTATGGGGGCCAGCACTGTGGTACAGCTGGTAAAGCCACGGCCTGCAGTGCCAGCATCCCATTTGACCACCAGTTTGAGTCCTGGCTGCTCAACTTCCAATCCAGGTCTCTGCTATGGCCTGGGAAAGCTGTAGAAGATGGCCCAAGTCCTTGGGAGACCTGGAAGAAGTGGCTCCTGACTTCACATCAGTGCAGCTCCGGCCATTGCGGCCATCTAGGGAGTGAGAAGCAGATGGAAGACTTCTCTCTCTCCCTCTCTGCCTCTGCCTCTCTGTAACTCTGCCTTCCAAATAAATGGATAAGTCTTAAAAAACAAAAAAAGATTATGATCAGTTGAGATAATGTGAATGGGCTGGCATAATAGATTTTTTCTAATATAGTCTCAGTTACTTTAAGTAAATATGTATTTATATTAAACCCACCCTGACATAAAAAAACTCAAATGGATCAACTGAAAAACTACTTGAACTTAAAAGTGAATTAATTAACATTTCAGGACACAAAATATACATTTTAAAAATTTCCATTCATCAATAATATGATGCTTTGGGGATGGGGATTAGAAAGCAAATTCGTGGTAATAATCTCAATTATAAAATACCTGGCAATAGTTTGAATAAGAATTTCACAATACCCATATCTGGAAGATATTATGAAACTTTACCAAGTAACATACAAGAAGATAAATGTTATGTATTACTTTTTTTAATGGGAATGCTATAAAAATAGCAATAAATGCATTTGTATAAATTTAACATGTCAGAAATTTAATGAGAGTACTTTAGGAACTGAGGAAATTATTCCAAAATGGTAGGATTTAGAATAGTAAATGATAATTTTTAATATTAAAAGGTAAAGCATTATCTATTGAATGTGAAAATATATTCCAACACTATAGTATTTAAAATGATGTGGTACTACTGCAACTAGAATCTATGTGTATGTAAAGTATAATGGAACACATAAACATAAAATTAATGCAAGCATTTTTATGACTCAAGCATGACAAAACGAACTCAATAATTTATGATAGAGTAAATTATTCAATGAAAGATAGTATGAGATTTGTAGAGAAAAAGTGATACAATGAAAGTCAAATATTTAATTTTTGAAGTTTTTAATTATATAGGAATGCTTATAAAATAAGACTAGTCAAGTAAAATATGAATAGGTGAATATATATAGATATATATACATAGAAAAATTAGCTGATGGGAACTATAGCAAATCATAAGAATCATAGAAAGGGGAAATTGTTGGGATGATTGCAGTTGATTTTAGTTTTCTTCATTTATTGCCAACTTTTGTCTTCAATTATAATAAATTCTATAACCAGAAAATAGGTTTTTGTCCTTATACCTCGAAATAACCACCACATTATCCAAGTACACAAAAAAACTATGTTTTTTGTAGCATAAAACATTTGCAGACTTACTTCAAGATAGTTCTGTTGATGTTTTTAAGCTCTGAAATGGGAAGGCCTTAATTTTCTTCTCTTACAAAGGTGCATCTTTGGACCTTCAGGAAAAACTATGTACATTTTATATTTTTCATCAGAGGAAATAATTTTAAAAGAAAAGAATGATCAGATAGCTTTCTGAGAGGAAGAGTACTGTCTTGCACTTGACTTAAAGGGTAGAATAAATGAATAATTTTGTATGCAAGGTTCTTGGTTTGCTTACAACTTTCTGCTAAAACTATAGAGACCTTTAAGCAAAGGATTCCACCAATTACATTTGTTGTATGTGTGTGTATATATTTTTCAGAAAGCATATGTTAGTAGGGCTATTAAGCAATTAGCTTCATGCATATAGATAGTTCATTTTGCACCAAACCATATGATGTGACTAGAATTTATAGAAAACCATCTTTCCTGCCAGAAATTGAGGCGAGTTAATTCTCTAGTTTGGAAAAGTGTGGTCTTCTGGCTGCAAGCTGTACTCTTAAAAATTAAGAGTCTGGTATTCTACATTTGATAGCTTAGAAAAGTGCATAAAATACAAAAGTTTTATTTTTATTAAATGAAGAAACCAGAAAAAGAAAACTGAAGTGGCACCTTGTTCATATTGCATGCTCACTAAATGTTTGATAAGTTGCAATAAAATGATGCCAGCAGGAACTGCGATTCCTCTTTTTTATATAAATGTATGCCATGAGGTCTTATGTCCTTGTCAGATTTGGCTCCGAGCTTTCTAGCAGTCTATGCAAAAAGGGAAATGCAATCAGTGACAGAATCTGTAATGTCCATGAGATAAAAACAAACTGGCTGCTCAGTAGAAGCCAAGCTATTTCCAGGGCTATAATAGCTATTTCTAGAGTGAATGAATGCTATTGAAATCTGAGAAAAATTGAGAGGTTATTTGAGCCTTCATCATCTTTATAGCAAACACAACAGAGAGTATCATTTGGCTATTTCTCCTAATGCCCAAAAGTAGTTCAGGAAAACTTCTTTTATGGGGGTGAAATACCACAACTGCCGGATATGTGGCTTAATTCAAAAAATATTTTGAATTTCCTAGAAATCCCAGAAATCAAATGATACAGAAAATCTATCCACTATGTACACTTCAGGTATATGTACATTTTTCCATATGTAAAATAAAATTCATTGCCCCCCCTTTGAAGTTCTAGCTGTACTTAAGAAAAGTAGACTATTACAATCTTGTCTCATTTTTATAGCATTCATATCCCTGGGCACAGTCATTAATCAGTGTGTTTTTTTTGTTTGTTTTGTTTTTTTTGAGGAAAGAGGATTATACTAAAAGTCCATGAATATCTATTACAAAATGCAAAATTCTACATGATTGGCCTTTTGTAAATAATAAGCAAAACTAATAAATCAAAATGATCAGAAGCATTTTAACAGACACATTCATATGAATGGAAATGTTGACATTCTTTCTGAAAGCGCTTTTTCCCTTTACTGCTGCCATTTTTATTGTGGATTTCCCTGTTCAACACTTAGTTCCAATTTTTTTAATGATCCATTTCAACAATAGACAGCAATATTCTCCCACTTATGTGAGTTTTTGGTTGCATTTTATTACATGAAAGATTGCAGAGCCCTACTATGAATTACTGTATTAGCATTCATTGTATTTTAAAGGACTGTGCTCACAAAAATTATTATGTGTGGGTCCAGGAATTCTTTACTTGTGACTTTGAAAAGTCTAATGTAACTTAACCTTCAGTTGTGGCTAGGCCATGAGTACATTTTGAAAAAAATTAAAAATACAAGAGCAATAGAAAATTTAAGAATCCCAAAGATATGTTTGATTTAAGGAGGTACCCAGATGAAGGTGATACTATTTTTAAGAAATAACCTATTTACCTGAATGTAGTTTCTCAGAACTTAGTTTATAACTTAGTTGCCTGGAGATCAAAATACAGTTTTCTTAGGAAAAAATGTTATAAATTCAAGTCCATTTAATGGTTATTTAAGCATCAATGCTCTCTCTCATCTTTAAGGAACTTGCTTGCTGGTGGTGTGGAAAAAAAAGACAAGGACACAAATAACTTGGCAAACCTCTTTTTAACACATTGTCAAGTGTCTTATAAAGCAAGCTCAAATGTGGCAGAAAGCCACCATCGAATTTCAGAGTCAAAGAATTCATAAATTGTTATAAGTTTGTTCTATAGATCAACTACTCAGGATTTGGGAGTTTTGTGCTAGTACCTTCCTTTTACCCCCTTGTCATTTCTTCTTAACCCCACATGCATCCCATGCTAGCCACCACCTCCCCATGAAACAGAGGGGGCAGTTTCCAGCTGATGGATAATCAGAACGTCATTGACTTAAGAAATTTAGTTTTATTGTTAAGCTAAAATCTCTTTCACAGATTCCCCTATCACTTAAATAAGTCATTTAATATTGATCCCCAGAATGACAGATTGCTAAAGATTTAGGAAATTTTTTATCACTTCATTAGAAGTGACAGAGTTTCTGACACCAATATATTTTCACTTGTGATAATTTTATTTTATGATCTATTTAGCATAGAACAATATTCATATTAATATTTTGAGAACTGTTTTTAATATTTTCAACTAAATTGCATGCATTTGGATACCAGTGGATCCCACTAAAAGCATAACTGAGTATCTTATTTTACTAAATGCAGAATAGCTCATTTTATCAAGGCTTGTATTTCTCTCCTATTCTCACAAGCAGAGGTGATATGTAAACTCTTCAATCTCTACTACAAAACTCTACCAGTCAGCTCACACTTACCGGTTCTCCATCTCTTCTTACCTCCCTCGGAGCCCAAATCCATGCAAAGAGCTACAGAAGGGACAGAGGCCTCTGAGCTTGGCGCATCCATGTGGGAGCCACTGTGCAGTACCCAGGAAGCAGGACTTAGAAGGGCTGACTGGGTCCTGAAACACCAGTCATAGGAAGGTGTGTGAAACTTGAACTTTAACACTTAGTTACTATTCCAAGAGAGTCCTGGCCAGGTCACTTTTACCAACCTGTAGCAATTTAAAAATATTATAATAATCTCTGGAGCCCTACTTAGTACTTACCTAAGTAGGTGGGTATCAGAACTGCTTACAATCTGATGTAAAACTGGACCTACAAAAACTTAAGGCAGCATTTTTAGTCGTTATCTAAATGTTGCCTTGTCTGCCATGCTTGAATCTTTCTTCTGCTTGAATGTGGGTTCAATGCCTACAAGGCTTTTTTTTTTAATCTGTTTACCCAAACTATTCACTCTTTCCTCCTAAGACCTCAGTTTCCACTTTTGTAAAATGGTTGCTGTAGAGTTTGAGAGTGCAAGTGAAACCCTTTGTACAATGTCTGGAATACAGCAGGTGCTAACCATTATCCAATTGTCACTTTATAATCGCATAAACTAGATGCAGTTACATAGATGATTGGTATATTTGACTACAGAAACACATGTTGTGTGCTGTGTTAGAACAAAATGATAACCCCCAAAAGTGGGTTATTACTGGGTATGAGATGTTTTCATACACTGTAGGGCTATGGTGTACTCTGAAGCCTTGAAGAAGCCTAGGATTTCAGGGCCTGATGTCAGCTAGTGGCTTCAGGGCCACTATTATTCAGGAAGAGGTAGTTTCTCTCTCTCTCTCTCTCTCTCTCTCTCTCTCCCTCTGTCTCTCTCTCTTTCTCTCTTTTGAGAGACAGAGTCTCTGTCAAGCTTCAGGTCTCCCTGTACTCAAATATTATCTTTTGACTTTTGCTCAAAACCAGGCAATAGAGCATATCTTAAAAGCACCAGTGGCAGGAAACTGGAGGCTCTTTTGTTTGTGGCAAACATGAATAAGAAGACTGTCACAAAAAAAAAAAAAAAAGAAAAGAAAAGAAAAAAAGAAACTTTATGAGGAAATAAATAGAAATGAATCCCAGGATAGCACTGAAAAATGTATGGAAAGATACTGGTAACAAGTGAATGACTATTTTTAACAAGTTTTTCTTATCGTCCTCTTTGGCATCAGGCCCTTTAAAAACATTTTTATGGCATCAGAATCTTTATCTGAACTGTGTCTTACTAGGTTCTCTGACTGAAAGCCAACTATAATCTAGACTCCTGATGAATATTAACCATCAAAGTAGAAGTTTGGTTTAGTAGGTTAAATGCCACTGGTTGGGACACTTGCATAGCATACTGGAGTGCCTAGGTTAGAGTACCGCCTCTGCTGCTGATCTAGCTTCCTGGTAATGCACAGGGAAGACAGCAGGTGATGGCCCAAGTGCTTAGATCCCTTCCATCTTTGTGGGACATTCAGATGGAGTTCCTGGCTCCTGGTTCCAGCCTGACCCAGCCCCAGCATTGCAGACATTTGGAGTGTGACCCAGTGGATGGAAGATTTCTGCTTTTTTGTCTCTCCCTCTCTCTCTATTACTCTGCCTTTCAAATCAATCAATCAATCAATATTTTTTTAAAAAGTAAGAGCTGAGGGAAGCTCTGTAGCACACCATGTTCTGAAAGTTGGCTTCACCGTTCGTTTCCTTTCCCTATGCGTGGTTTACCACCACAATATGCTTTCTGTCTTCTTGAAAGGCCTGTTCACAAGTGAGTATCATTATTCCACTCATATGCTTTCTTATCATATATGTGATAGAATACATTCTTCTCATGCATTTGAGGAAACTTCAACTAATTCTCCAGTTGTTATTCCTAAACCAAAATTGTTGGCAAAAGTCTAACGCTATAATTTCTGTATCGTGGAAATATATAGATGGTGATGGCCCTTTTTTGAAGGGGTATTATTGAAAATACATTCCTCTTGTTCTTTCCTTGCAACTACCTTTATTATTCCCAGTACAAAACTGCCATGAACATCTAGACTAAGGAGCAAAAGCCAAAAATAAAAGAGAGGGGATAGCATTGTGGCACAGTGAGTTAAGCTGCCACTTGAAAGGCCAGCATTCCATATTGGAGCACTTGTTAGTCCTGGCTGCTTCGCTTCCGATCGGGCTCCTCGCTAATGTACCTGAGAAAGCAGTGGAACATTGTCCGAGTAATACTTGGGAGACCCAGATGGAATTCCAGGCTCTTGAATTTGGCCTGGCCCAGCCTCAGCCTTGGTGACCATTTGGATAGTGAATCAGCAGATAGATCTCTCTGTCTCTGTTTCTTTCTGTGCTTCTCTCCTTCTCTCTTTCTCTCTCTCTCTCTCTCATTCTGCCTTTCAAATAAACAAACAAATCTTTTAAAAAATTAGAGGATGAGAAAATGCAAAGCTGAATATAAATGAGAAATTACTAAACAATAATTGCAGCAGTTAAATGATATTGTTAACTTATCTTGGGTTTACATTATTTTCAGCAAAAAAAACTCTATACTTTTTTATAAAGTTGAGAGAGATTATTTGGCAAAGTGAAATTTAATTAGTGTCCCCTTCTGGGATCATTCCTAAAGGGGGAAAGGTCTGAATACTTCAAAAAAAAAAATTCGTGGTGATACTTCATGCAAAAATGTTACTATTCAGAATTAATCATTAGCGATTACTTAAATATACATGTGTATTTTTCAGTGTATACATTATATTTGCCCTTGTTAACAACAGTAATTTTGAAATGGAAGACAAGAATTTAGTATTACAAATGTGTGAAGCATTGCCTGTGATCTATTAGAACTTTGAATATAATTTACTATAGCACATATCATTCTGAATTATAACTATTAGCTTATGTCCCTGTCTTTCCTCACTTCTACATTCTGCCTTCCCTCCCCCACCAAGATTGGCAACTTTGTCTGCCTTATGCTCATTCCTTACTATCACATAGGTTCTTGGCATGGTTTCTTGGCAAATAGCGGGTACTCAATAAATGTTGTATAAATAAATAAATGAATGATGCTGATTTTATATGTGCATATAAATTTATGGCATTGCTATAAATTTTCAATTCAACAGTCTAATCAAATAGTGCCATTATGTGTATCTTAGTATACATTAAGAAGCAGTAGTGAATGCTATAGATATCAGTATTCAAGCTTAATCCCAAGTAGGTTATATGTTCCATCCTATGTAACAAGGAAGGTCACAGAGGGCCTTTCCTAAAGCTTGGAGTGTTTTTCAGTCATGGAGGAAATGATGGTCAAACGTGAAAGTAACAGCTAAGGTGGAAGAGGAGGGGATAGAGTTATTCTGCCTTCAAATGGAACTACCACCTAAAAAGAGCCACGTCAGGGCCAAAGGATTGGTAGAATGAAGAGGGAATTAATATTTGTGATCTCTACTTTGTGCCAACTTCCATGCCATAGCTTTACATGTCACCTCCTTAGTTCTCACAACAATGGTAGGAATTAGGTAGTCATATTCCCTTCTATTAATGAGAAAGCAGTTTCTTGCTGCTGTCAAATGGGAGTCCTATGATTTAAATTGGGTCTGTACAATCCCAAGACCATTCTTTTGAACTGTGACAGAGAACACAGTTGTGGTAAATCCTTTCTGAAATAAAGAACATTCATCAGCTATTCAAATTATTTATACCAGTTTTATCAGAAGTCACATCCATCTCAAAAGTGGGAAGAATGAATATCAGGGAAGGGACTCTTCACAGTGAGGGGGTACAGATTTTAACTTGTGATAAACTTTGGTCCACACACCTGTCTGTGTCTTAGTGATCCTGCACCAAATTACTTAACCATGCTGATCATTTGTAAAATGAGGCTATTCACAGGATCTCCAAATGATAAGTATATCACCTGAAATAGATAAGACCTTCAAAAATGATAATTGCTTGAATCCTCATTTGAATACAAATAGAGACACTACTTAAAAGACATGGCTATTAGCAAAACTGAAGAAGGAAGAGGAAGAAGAACAAGGAGGAGGAGGGAGGGAGAGGAGGAGAAAGAGATAAAAGAGAAAAGAAGAAGGAAAAGAAGAGCATTATCTTCAGGGAGGCCTTAGCTGATTTTATGGCAAGGGGGAATTCATCTTGAGATATGGGTCAGTTTGACATAAAATGACTTTGAAACCCAACAAATTATGGCATATTACATTGAATTTATATTTTGCTTAGTATTTGTTTCATTAAACAGTGATTAAAATTCATCAAAATTTTGGATAAACTATTTTGGAAAAATATTACAAAGGTGCCTTCAAAAACCTGCAAATAGCCTGTAAATTATTATTAATGGCCAAAATAAATGCAATAGAGAAATGAAGACAGGTAAATATAACTTCGGGCCTAGAATTTTCATGGGTCTTTAATTAATAGAATAAGTTATTATAAGGCAAAAATAAAAAGGTGAAAGTGGGTTGCATTTGAGAATAATGGAGTTTGAGTTGAAGAAAAGTAGTAGGAGAAAGGATGGAGAGATTGAGGCAAAGCACAGAAAGTGTATAATGGGAAGGACTTCAAAGCAAATAATCTGACAAATTACCAATTTGTCTCTAAATTTGATAATTTCATCTCTCAGAAGCTAGAGGAATGTGAGAAAAATGGGGGAAAGGGCATCAAGATAAATATCCTTGTGGTACAAACAGAAGAAGAATGAATGATAAAGTACAGCTGGTGAAAATGCTTAGGTATTTAATAATGATAAAGTACCTAAATGCAGCTTTTAGAGTAAGAATTTGAACAAAGAAGTGATCAGCTCATTGCTTAGGAAACATACCATAAAGTTAAAAGTTGAAAGAAAAAGACATCATTATTCATTTCCTATTCTGCTTCTATCCTGCCCAGTCATGATGGTGATAGTCAAGCTGGAAATAGGGATACTAATAATGATAGTATCATTATTGGATTTAATGCTGCTTTAAGTCTTAGGACAATAGTTCTAAAATCAGAGTGAACATAAATCATGAATTCTAATTCTAACTGGTAAAAATTAGGTCTGTGTCTTGAGATCCTTTTTTTTTAAATTTGCAGTTAAATTCTTTTGTATGATTAGTCATTATCATCAAATATAATAAATTTAAAAATCATAAATTTAAAAATCTGAGTATAAAACTAATGACATCTAAGCCATGCATTTCTCAGACGTATCCCAACATGTAAATGGATACCACTAAGCAATTCTGTCCAAAGCATCTTCAGTAGCTCTATCAGTTCATTTGGCTATTGGTGATGTATTTGCAACTTAACCTGCTAAGTCATTCAGAATGGAATCCTGCTCCAAATTAAACCAGAATAGGACAGTATCCCTCAGTGAAAAGAAGAGGTTTTATATAGGTTGGTTTTGTATATGGTCTCTTCAAATTAATAGCTGTGGAATTATGAAATGAGAATAATAGTACCCACGTAAGTTGTCATCATGATTCAATAAAATGATATATTTGGGGAAATTGGTATTTATTGAACACCTGTGAGGAGTCACATAGCCTATTTTTAAATCTCCTAGAAAACTTAATGTGATAGATATTAAAGGCAGAGTTAGGCTTTGAATCCCAGTCTTAGTACAAATTTTATGTTTAGTCTTTACCACATAAAATACCTGACACTGTAGCTATTACAAAGTACTGATGATAGTGGAAGTTATGATAATCATCACACTTATTTTTTACATTCTTGGAACAAAATCATCTTGTATTTTCTTTTAAAATTTTTTTAAATTTTGATGGAAAAAATGTATGTATTTGGTGTGTTATGTGATATGTCAGTGTTTTCTCTATGCTTCTTCTGGAAGTTTCAAATTTCAGGTTTAACACTGAAGTTTGTAATTCATTTTTAAAAAGAAATCTTTCTTTTTGCGTAGCTATTTATTTTCATCCAATTGAAAAGCAGAGTGATGGAGTTGTGGGGGAAGGAGGGAGTGGGGATCTTCCATCTGCTGATTCACTTCCCCAACTGCCTGCCACAGCCAAGTCTGGACCATGAA